TTAGTTAGCCAAGAGTACATTATTTCATGTAGTAGGAACTGCATGCTGAATATGTTTTGTTTTGTTTTTACACAAAGTTTTATAACTTTTTTAATGCATAGAAAAATTGAGAAGGTACAGAGATAGCCCACGTATTCCTTGCCCCCATACATACATAGCCTTCCCATTATCGATATTTTCCATCAGCGTGGTACATTTGTTTACAATTGATGAAACTTATATCACACACCATGATCACCTGAGTCCAGAGTTTATATTAGGGCTCACTCTTGGTGTTGTACATTCTGTGAGTTTGAGCACATATATGATTACTTGTATCCATCATTATAATATAAGACAGAGTAGTTTCATTGCGCTAAAAATCCTCTGTGTTCCCCCTATTCATCCCTCCCCACCACTGGCAACCAGTGATCTTTTTACTCTTTCCATTGTTTTGTCTTTTCCAGAATGTCTTATTGTTGGAATCACATAGTATGTCAACTTTTCTGTCATCTTTCACTTAGTAATATGCATTTCAGGTTCTTTTCAAGACTTACTAGCTCATTTCTTCTTTCTTTCAATATCTGATTGTACCAGAGTTTATTTACCTGTTTAACTATTGAAGGACACCTTGGTTGCTTCCAAGTATGATGAATAAAGCTTCTATTAACATACGTATGCGGGTTTTTGTATGGATATAAGTTTTTTAAACACTTTGGGTAAATGGTAACAAGTGGGATGGCTGAATCGTTTGGAAAGAGTATATTCAGTTTCATAAGAAACCACCAAACTGTCTTCCAACATGGCTATACCATTTTGCATTTTCATCAACAATGTTTGAGAGTTATTGTGGCTCCACATCCTCCCCAGCATTTAGTACTTTTCAGTATTTGGGGTTTGGCCACGCTAATAGGTGTGTAGTTGTATCTCCTTTTAATTTGCATATTCCAGATGGCTTATGATGTGGAGCATCTTTTCATATTTTTTTTTTTACCATCTGTTTATCTACTTTGGTGAGTTGTCTGTTAAGGTCTTTGGCCCACTTTTTAATTGGGTGATTTGTTCTCTTATTGTTGAGTTTACAGAGTTCTTTGTATATTTTGGATAACCCTTCTTTATCAGATGTGTCTTATAAATATTTTCTTCCAGTCTGTGTTTATCTTCTCATTCTCTTGACTGAATATATTTTGACTTATGGAGTCTTATTATATCATTTATCCAAGAAGATGAACATTTAATAGGCATAGCTGGTCAGTCATCTCTCAGAATATTATTATTTGCTCCAACAAGAGAGCACATTCACATTTCTATTCGTATGTAATGTGTCCCTTTCTGTGCCTCTTAACATTTTTTTTGTTTTTTGAAAACTTTCTTTTGGGCTTTCATGTGTCTCACGTGTTTATTACAGAACCGATCCTTTTTTTACATATTTATCTTTTAAGAATCTTTCTTTTTTCTCTTTTATGGGGGGTGGGGGTGTAAGGGGTGGGATTCACTGGTTTCTGCTTGTTTTTTCTTTAACTTGTTCTCTTTTTGTAGAAGTTACCTTGAATTTTTAAAAACTTCCATTTTCTTTTAAAACAATGTATTTGTATTGTGAGAATCTTAGGAGTTGTTTATCACTCCTAAGCCATATTCTCTTTTATTAAATTATAGCCTTTTATACAAACTTTTTGACATTTCCTTTTCTTAAAGATTATATATATAGTTCAAGTTCTACTGTGTAAGTGTCCTTACTTGACTATCACAAATTTAACAATACCTGGCCACTTAACTTAAAATTTTATATCATTTTTAATTCATGGATTAGTTTTTGTTGATCAGAACTTGGTGTGCAAATAGGTACTTTGCTGTTTGGTTTACCTTCTGCAAGAAGAAAAAAGGCCAAACTTTGGAAGACGCTGAGTTATAACAATGAGATGGCTTGTACTCTTGCTATGATTAAAGATGCATGTCACCATTGAAATTGTCGTTTTGGAAAATTTGGTGTTTTCCATTTGTAATGACATCATCATTTCCCCCCCCATCTGCATTGATTCCCAGATGAGTATGTAGAATCTACAGTTTTTACTTTTTGTGCAACTCTCTCAAAACCATAGCACTTGTTTACATAATGGGAATTTAACTTATAAAAACATCAGCAAAAAACCCCAAATACTTTATCATGTTACAGTTAATCTGCTTTTAATCAAGTATTTCAATTTTCACTGAGAACCAACTTTTGCTGGTTTAGAAGTGAAGGACGTGATAAAATTTCCTTGTCTACACTGATTTTTTAAAATGGGCCTTTATGACTATTGCTTTGAAAATATTTTATAATTATTTCTTTTTTACAAAGCAATACAAATTTATTGTAAAATATTTAAAGATTATAGAAAAGAGTAAAGTTAAAAATAAAGTATCCTCATTAATCTCATTTCTCAGAAATAACTTTCAGTAGCATTTTATATAATCCCCTATTGTGTATGTGCATATAATGTATACTATACATATATACTGACATAAACACACAAGCAAATGTTATGTCCAAAAAGTAATAGAACACCATACTACATATGTGTGTATATATGTAATATGCACATATTATATATATAATTGCTTATTTCATTTAATAATATATTGTGAACTCTTCTGTTTCAAGTCATACAGTTTTGCCTGACTTTTTAGTAGTTGCAAAGTATTCTAACATGCGGATGAATCATGTTATTTAATCAGCATCCATTTAGATCATTTCCAATATTTTATTACTGAAGACAAAATTGTAGTAAACATCCTTGTACACATATTTTTACATATTTATGTGAATATTTTTGTAGAACCAATTTTTGCAAAAGAATTGAAGGGAGTACACTAGAAATTTTATTTGATATTACTCAATTGCTTCAAAGAAGATTGTTGTAGTTTATGTATAACTTCTTTTACTGCATCCTCATCCATTCTGAACATTGTCACTCTGTATGTGTCTGTGTGTCCATACTGACAAATAGAAGCAACTCTGAAGTTGCTTTAAATTTTTCGCATTTAAAAATCTTGTATTCTTTAAGTTTTTATTTTTGCCATTTTAATTTGCTCCCCTCTTTTTGTAACTTGGCTCTTTCTTATTTAGAAGTAATATCACTATTAGAGTTAGGAGTAGCATAACTTATACGGATGAATATGTTACATACATTTTTCCATTTGCTTTTAAATTTAAAACTGGTTTATAACATTTTGCCTCACAAAATTTCTATAGGCAAATGGTTATACTTTTCATTTTATGCTTAGAGAAGCCTTTGTAAATCCAATTACTTTCTCCATCTTTTTTGGTAGTTTAAACTGTAAATGGAGAGGCGTTTTATTCATCTTAATGGAATATAAACAATGTCTTTTTAAAATTTAACAGACTATAGAAAAATATCTCTATTTTGTTTTACATAATCTTTTTTTCAAATACTTAACAAATACACTTGCTTTATGAAAAGAGTATCTGACATGCTTAAAAAAGAAAAAAAAAAAGCTAACATATTAAAGACACAGACAAAGCCACTGAGGCCTTATGGCTAAACACAGGTGGTGCTAAAGGAAAGCCAAAGCTGTAATGACAAGCTAAGGAGAGAGTTGAAAATACAAACTCTTAAGGAGTAGTCAATGGAATTGAACTACTAATTTTAGAGGAGAGAAAAGTGTATCTTAATGCTTTTGTAAAAACCACAAAATCAGCAGTTAACAAGTTACCTCTACGTAATGACCATTGAACAGAAAGGTTTGAACCAAAAAAAAAAAAAAAAAAGGGGGGGGGGATTTTGATTATTTTGATTATTTTGATATTTTCTGACAATGAGAATTATTGAAATTGGTTTGCTTTGGAGGTCTCTAAACATTGGACAGATTTCCACTAGTTTTGGAAGACCCTAACAGATAAGATTGCATAAAGATTGAGTGGGCAATCTGAGGCAGTATTTATTCTTTTATGATAGCTCTGAAAATTAGTCTGGAAACACCAAATATAGATTCATATTCTTATAAATATTATTAAGGTTTAACTGGTCTTGCCATCCAGTTCCCAAGTGGCTTCCCTACTTTGTAGTTTTGTTCTTACTCCAATTAGTTATAGAAACTGCTTTTCAGATCGAAGATCCCAGCCTTTGACTGTGATCAAACTGCCCACATGGTCAAGGACATTCCGAGATTGCTGTCTGGATCTTTCTATCCTTGGTTATTTGATCTTAAGATACCATTCCTGCCTAGTCTCCACCTCCACTTCTTCATGAATTTTATGTGTGGCTAAACCTCACTCCTCACTTATTCACAAACTGGCTCTATACTTTTCCTTCCTCCTTTTTCTTTTATCTATATGTCTCTTGCCTAACTGTGCACATGCCATTCCCACTACCTGCAGTGTTCTCTATAAAAATGTCATTTATTCATATGTTACATCCTAAGAAGTTTCCTTCTCTCATCAAATGAGGGCTCAATATGTGGTTAGCATTTATTTATATCTTTATCTATACCTCTAAACTATAAACTCCATGAAGCCAGTGTTCCTTTATAAATCATTCTTTCCTATAGGGGCACTGATTGCTTTCATGCGGTACAAAGTTTCCTGTGATTTGTCTAATCAAAATTAAGGATGTAGGTTCCTGAGCTCAATCTGACTACTGTGTTATGATCCTGAAGGCTGATGGTAGGGGAATTTTATCAGAAGGAAAGTTTGGAAATCACAGTATTCAAATACTAAATGAAAGGTTGTTAAATAAATGAATGAATGAGTCCCCTATTATTTCTTTGAAGTTTTCTATTAAGGACATCTACTCAAGTACATTTTTCTTTGGCTTTTCTGCTTTTCGTGTCCCTGGTGTGTCCATCAAAATGCATGGGCAGAAGGATGTTAAATTTGGGTGAAATTGATTGCTTTCATTAGCCAGTTGACAAATGATATTCTGAGCATCCTTTTAAGTCTTAAAAAACAAACAAACAAAAACAGTGACTGCTTTTGAGCAACATTTTCAGTGGTTAGGTAAGAGTTTAAAGTAATGTGGCGGTCCCCCTCCCCAGGCCACCCAGCCCGCCCAGCTCCCGGCGGAGAGCAAGGTTTCCTCCTGTTTCATAATCAGCCGGAACAATGTTCTACGCACACTTTGTCCTCAGTAAGAGAGGGCCTCTGGCCAAAATTTGGCTAGCAGCCCATTGGGATAAGAAGCTAACCAAAGCCCATGTGTTTGAGTGTAATTTAGAGAGCAGTGTAGAGAGTATCATCTTACCAAAGGTGAAGATGGCACTCCGAACACCAGGACATCTCTTACTGGGAGTAGTTCAAATCTATCATAGAAAAGCCAAATACCTGCTTGCAGACTGTAATGAAGCATTCATTAAGATAAAGATGGCTTTTCGGCCAGGTGTTGTTGACCTGCCTGAGGACAATCGAGAAACTGCTTACAATGCTATTACCTTACCTGAAGAATTTCATGACTTTGATCAGCCACTGCCTGACTTAGATGACATCGATGTGGCCCAGCAGTTCAGCCTGAACCAGAGTAGAGTGGAAGAAATAACCATGAGAGAAGAAGTTGGGAACATCAGTATTCTACAAGAAAATGATTTTGGTGACTTTGGAATGGATGATCGTGAGATCATGAGAGAAGGAAGTGCTTTTGAGGATGATGACATGTTAGTGAGCACAAGCGCTTCTAACCTCCTGTTAGAGCCTGAACAGAGCACCAGCAATCTGAATGAGAAAATTAATCATTTAGAATATGAAGACCAATATAAAGATGACAATTTTGGAGAAGGAAATGATGGTGGTATATTAGACGACAAACATAAGTAATAATGATGGTGGTATCTTTGACGACCCCCCCGCCCTGTCAGAGGCAGGTGTGACATTGACAGAACAGCCTGCACATGATGATATGGACGAGGATGAGAATGTATCAATGGGTGGGCCTGATAGTCCTGATTCAGTGGATCCTGTTGAACCAATGCCAACTATGACTGATCAGACAACACTTGTTCCAAATGAAGAAGAAGCCTTTGCTTTGGAACCTATTGATATCACTGTCAAAGAAACAAAATCCAAGAGGAAGAGGAAGCTGATTGTTGACAGTGTCAAAGAGCTGGATAGTAAGACAATTAGAGCCCAACTTAGTGATTATTCTGGTATTGTTACTACTTTGGATCTGGCACCACCCACCAAGAAATTGATGATGTGGAAAGAGACAGGGGGAGTGGAAAAACTCTTCTCCTTACCTGCTCAGCCTTTATGGAATAATAGACTACTGAAGCTCTTTACCCGCTGTCTTATACCACTAGTACCAGAAGATCTTAGAAAAAGGAGGAAAGGAGGAGAGGCTGATAATGTGGATGAATTCCTCAAGGAATTTGAAAATCCGGAGGTTCCCAGAGAGGATCAGCAGCAGCAGCACCAGCAGGGTGATGTTATCGATGAGCCCATTTTGGAAGAGCCAAGCCGCCTCCAGGAATCAGTGATGGAGACCAGCAGAACAAACTTGGATGAGTCAGCCATGGCTCCACCACCTCCTCAGGGAGTCAAGCGAAAAGCAGGACAAATTGACCCAGAGCCTGTGATCCCTCCCCAGCAGGTAGAGCAGGTGGAAATACCCCCTGTAGAACTGCCCCCTGAGGAGCCTCCAAATATCTGTCAGTTAATTCCGGAGTTAGAACTTCTACCAGAGAAAGAGGAGGAGAAAGAGAAGGAGAAAGAAGATGATGAAGAGGAGGACGAAGATGCTTCCGGAGGTGATCAGGATCAAGAAGGAAGAAGATGGAACAAAAGGACTCAGCAGATGCTTCATGGGCTTCAGCGAGCTCTTGCTAAAACTGGAGCTGAATCCATCAGTTTGCTTGAGTTATGTGGAAACACAAACAGAAAGCAAGCTGCAGCAAAGTTCTACAGCTTCTTGGTTCTTGAAAAGCTGATGCAGGAAGAACCATAGAGTGACATCACTGCAACACCTGGACCAAGGTTCCACATTATTTGAGCAGCTAGAAGCATTATAGCTAGTGTTCATTTCACTAGTGTATACAAATTGCCCCCATGTGTAGGGCACACAAAACCCTTTGAGAAAATTTAGATTTTTGTCTGTACGAAGTCTGCCTTTTTCTTTGTTTTTTTCCCCTGGTATTTTATCAATTCCATCTTTAAGGGAAACTGCTTCGATCGATGTGTTTGTGTTCTGATGGAGAAAACAAGCACACCCAAGGACCCAGAAGATCATTTTAACAGTTCAGAACAGATGTGTGCAATATTGGCGCATGTAATACTATTGAGTAGCAGTTGAAAGTCAGGATTTTTATATTAGCTCTCCATCACCACATTGGAAAGGAAAACCTGTCAGGAAAAAAAGTGCCTGACAATTTAATTAAGAACGATGCTGTGAGTCTTTGAGAGAAAGAAGTTGTCTTTTCCCACTAGTAACACTGGCAGTCTTGTTTGGGGATGGGGCCTAAAACAGATGTCCTCTTGAGATACTATTTTAAAGTGTAATTCTGTAATGACCAAGAGGGTGTGTGAAACTGTGCTGTAACTCAACCCCTTCGGCTACAAAATGATAGGGCTTGGTATAAAGTGTTCTTTTGTAAGTCATTCCATTTGAAACTTTTTAATGAACCTGACTATCCTAAAATCTGTTGTTTTAGTGAGGCTCTAAAATGAGCAGAAGTAGACTTTTTAGAGTAGAATATAAAAACGTTTATAACTTTCCAGAAGCTCTAAATCAAAGTTTTAAAAAGATGTTTGGATATATTTGAGTACTCAGATCATGAAAATAGAAATTGCTATGCCAACTAAAAGGACAGACTGATGGGAAATTACACACCTGGTTGACTTAACCCTTAAGCAGACAGTGCTGTTAAGAACTAATGGCTTCTCCGATATTTATTATAAGTGTTAGTGCTAATCTTTTCCCAATGCTGCACACTCCTGTGTTTGGAACTTTATTTTAATGGCTTTGCAACAGAAATCCTATATCTGGTTTCCTATAATTTAAGAAAAGCATCCAAATAAAGGCTTTATTATTAACAGACCAGATAGCACCAGAAATTATGTGACTGTTATGATTATCAGAACATGTCTTAACTTTTTAGGGCAAAATTACTCACACTGAAAGTTCTAGCTTAAGTGTTGGCACTTTTGTGGAAAAAAAAATCACTTTTGAAACTCAGACTTCAGTGTATACCCAGTAATTTTAAATTATGTGAAATGTTTTAAATTAGTGAACTCATAATTACTGTTTTGATGATTCAGTTTCTTGAGAATGGTAAGTGTATAAGAATTGCTATTGCAGCTTTATTTTCAATATGTGCCTGTAAACCATGGATTTTTCTCCCTTTGTAAAATTCATTTGTAGATAATTGAATGTTTGATTATAGAAAGGTCATTAGTTTCTTGTTAACACATTTTGTTATTCTGGTTTTGTTGCTTATCGGGTTTAATATTGTTCTTGAAAATAGTTAATGCTATGTTATGTATAATTTTTCTAATAAAAGTTGTGGTATAAGCTGTAAAAAAAAATAAAAATAAAGTAATGTGGCGGGCAGAGTTGAAAGATTGTCATGGAGTGTTCCTTGATCTCTGTTAAGTCACTGGTTCCATTTCACATGGAAGGACTTCCAAAGACAGTGTAGGATGGAGGAAAGAGCCTGAGCAGAAGACCTACTGGTCCTGGAGCAGCAAATAACTTGGCTATATGACCTTTTGAAAATCCCTGAATGTCACCAAGCTCAATTTATTCATCTGTAAAATAAGGGGCTTGGAGTAGCTGACTTTCAGCTCCCTTCAGCTCTAAATTCCATGATTCTCTGATTCTTGTTTTATCTGAGCATTTCATTTGTCTGCATGATTTCTTTCTTGCCTCTGAAATAATTGAGGGCTGATTATACGTATCCAGTCCAATTATCCATAGATCATAAAGATTCTTATTATTATATGTGGAAAATTAAGATGTATGAAGGGTATAAGATTGAAATCTCCACAAAGTCTCATGATAAAACTATCATTTTATCCTAGGAATTTTCTTCTTTAGAAGATTATAATGGTGTTTTGTGGGGGAAAAAAGTAAGAACAATGCTTAATGTTTAATGTCCTTCCATTCTTGAAGAAGAGAGCTGAGTTTTAAAAATATATGTATATGTATTAAACATTCTTTCATATAAATTTATATTACATCATTATTGAAAGCACTGAGCTATGGCAAATGATCTATTACATCATGATTTACAATGCTGTATTGTATCAATTGATGGATTACAGCATGTCATGTTTTGATATGTAAAATTTTAAAGATAATTAGAGATGCAAATCACAAAAATAATTCATGTACTGTTTTAAGTAAATATCTCTTTTTTTTTTACAATCTACCAAATAATTTTAGAATTTTTAGAGTCTTCTATATTTTGGTATGGCTGTGTGTCAATGTATTAGCTCTATTAGTATATAATATTCACAGGGAAAGTTATTAAGATAGGACATATGATTCAAATAGCTGATGATACCATATGAAAGATCCAAAAATTAAGACATTTTATAAGTCTTCACATTATATCTGTTTTTCTGTTTTTATTTTTCTGTACTACATCAACCATGCTTTTATGAATATGAACTTTTTTTCCTTTTCTTTTCTTTTATTGTTATGTTAATCACCATACATTACATCATTAGTTTTTGACGTAGTGTTCCATGATTCATTGTTTGCCTATAACACCCAGTGCTCCATTCAGTACGTGCCCTCTTTAATACCCATCACCAGGCTAACCCCTCCCCCACCCCCTCCCCTCAAGAACCCTCGGTTTGTTTCTCAGAGTGCATAGTCTCTCCTGGTTCGTCTCCCCCTCCGATTCCCCCCCTTCATTTTTCCCTTCCTGCTATCTTCTTCTTCTTTTTTTTTTTTAACATATAATGTATTATTTGTTTCAGAGGTACAGGTTTGCGATTCAACAGTCTTACACAGTTCACAATGCTTACCATAGCACATACCTTCCCCAATGTCTATTACCCAGCCACTCCATCCCTCCCACCCCCTACCACTCCAGCAACCCTCAGTTTGTTTCCTGAGATTAAGAATTCCTCATATCAGTGAGGTCATATGATACCTGTCTTTCTCTGATCGACTTGTTTTGCTCAACATAATACCCTCCAGTTCCATCCACGTCATTGCAAATGGCAAGACTTCATTCCTTTTGAAGGCTGCATAATATTCCATTGTATATATGAACTTGTTTTTTTTGAAAAATCAATCTATTTTGCCTGCTATCCTACTTAGCTGTTATTATCAGCATAAAGTTGCTACCAATGAATCAACAAAAATAAGTGTTGGGAAATGGAAAAAGAAGAGGTTTTACAGAAGAATTATCTGTACTTTTCATATGAGTAATGACATGACTAATATGACTAACTACGGAACTAAATAAAGTAGGAAAACCATAAATTGCTAGAATTAAAATCTGATCTTATAAAAAAAAATCTGATCTTATAACTTTACAATTTTTAAAATACCAAATATTTAGATGCGCCTGGGTGGCTCAGTCGGGTAAGCATCTGCCTTTGGCTCAGGTCATGATCCCAGAGTCCTGGGATTGAGCCCTGCGTCAAGCCCCGCATCGGGCTCCCTGCTCGGCTGGGAGTCTGCTTCTGCCTCTCCCACTCCTCCTGCTTGTGCGCTCTGTCTCTCTCCCTCTCTATCAAAAACAAATAAATAAAATCTTTAAAAATAGCAAATATTTATAATTTAGATACATTTTACATAAGAATATTGTATTTTTCTTACTGACTCTGACAGATCTAACTTTTCTTCATTAAAAGGTAATAGTGCATTAATGTTGTTTTTAAGTAAGAAGGATTTTGGGGTATCAGAAAGAGCCGACTTTAAGTCCTGCCTCCCCGATTTGCTAGCAGCATGGGCTGAACAATCACTTGAAGTGTTTAAACTAGTTTCTTTATCTGTAAAATGGGACTAATAATCCTCTGTTTCTTAGGAATGTTGTATATGTGAGACCACATGTTAAATGTGCCTAAAGAATATTCCTGGCTTCTAAAAAGTTCTCAATAAATATTATTATCTGTTTTAGGCCTGTGAAATACTTCATATTCACTATTTGCTCTTCAAAGAGTTTCCTTCTCTTATTTGTCATATGATATGTGACAAAAATAAGGTATATTTTTACTGAGGTTCTGAGGCATTCAGTGTATTCAAAGTTTTTTTCAAAAAACTATGTTCATCTGATCAAATCCTTCCTGTTTTAGGGGGTGGACATTGTCTCAGATCAATGTTTTCCTGGTTGCATTTTGTTTGGAGAACCTAAACTACTTAATCTCTTTCTACACAAGTTTTTTTTTTTTTAATGCTTATATTTGTAGGAATTCATATAGTTTGTGATAAAGCTGGGAAAGACAAAAGAATAGAGAATATGCAAAGGAAATACCACGGTTAATATCATAGGACAAATTATTATGAGTAATAGTTTATTTGAGGCACTTCTTTTGAATTTTTTAAAATTTGGAATTAAATGAGAACCCAGCTTTTCCAAGTGTCCCCCTTCCTTACTTCTCTGTGTTTAGAATTTAGGGCAGTGGTATATGGTTTTTAAATGTGTGTGTTGGATATCTTCATTATTCCTCCAGATCCTCTTTCCATTCTTCTCTACCTTGCTCTGTACCCCAGGAAGTGATTCTGTCTAGATTATATTAACAGGGTTCTTTGACCTCTGGCTGCCGTTGGATTTGGCATGTGAGGTTCAGCAGGATGGGAGGGAAGGGAGACATCGAGGTTAGGGTGTTTATGCCTCTAAAATGCCTCCCTCCAGGTTTGTCTGAGGCTGCCTATGTCTCTCCATCACAGGTTGGCCATGCCACACTAACCTCTCTCTGTGACACCTGGTTCTGGTAACAGCGCTCTGTCCCCCCCTTCCCCACTCTTTCGGGGCTAGAGGTGAGAGTGATAAAGATGCTTTGATATTTCTGTAGCCCCTTATTACTACTCTAACC